TGGGTGATGGAGAAGGGTTCAGGTGGATGATATGAGTTTGGGGGAGTTGGGAGGAAAAGGCTGATGAGGACATAGAAGCCTTCCCATAACTTCCTGCGGTTTGGGGAATCCTCATGTGGCCTAGCTGCGAGGGACTATCTGGTTCATGCTGGCTCAGGTTTTTCCCTTATCCAGATGAGGCATCTGGGTGCCAGAGAGGCAACACCACTGCCTCAGTGTCACACAGCTCTCTGGATTTTAGTTCAGGTTCCCCAAAATTACGTGCTGGAGGGGCATAGACTTGCACATGTGTACTTTGTCAGCAACAAACTGGAGTGGCCTGTCGCATCCTCTGATAACCTGGGGGGCTGGGTTGTTGACCACAGTTAAGAGGAAGAGGGAGGCAGGGGAACCTTGGGCAAGGGCCTGGGGCCCTGGGCCAGAGAATTCTCTCAGCTCAAATGGAGAGCCGCCTCTGTGTGTGTACTTTCTCCTACTTCTTTTCCTGGCACCTCTTTTGCTGGAAAATTGACCAGGTTGCAGATTTCTCACTCCTCTGCTGAGAAAAATCCCTCCTTCCCAAAGTCTCCACAAGCAGAATCCAGGCAGTGAAACAGAGGCGCTTTCATTGCTCAGGACCATCCACTCTCACTTTGCTTAAGCCCTGTTTGTTTCTTCTGCCTGAAAGAGGCCTTTTGCTTGGTGTGCCAGGGTTTGCCGGAGCCAGAGAGCACCCAGGGCTGTGGCTGTTTTGTTCCTGAACCCCGCGGAGCCTCAGAAATGCCTGCGTCCGGTAGTCGGAGGGGAAGGCAAGAGACTAGGTGTCAGGAATTGTGTTCATGTTGGGTTTCCATCGCTTGTCTCCATTAAGACCTGGATTACTAGCTCTGTGACCTTTGGAAAGTTGTTGAACCTCTCTGAGCATTCTTTTCCTTAACTGTAAAATGGGGCTGGTAACGGTACCCCAGCAAGGAGACAGAGGTGGTGTTGGGTGGTTAGAGCTTCCAAAGTGCTCTAGACACAGGGCCTGGCACACACTACCAGCCCTTAATAAAAGTTGATATTGTTGGAACACCTGGGTGGCTCAGTCATTTAAGCATCTGCCTTCAGCTCAAGTCATGATCTTGAGGTCCTGTAATCAAGCCCTGCATCAGGCTCCCTGTTCAGTGGGAGTCCGCTTCTCCCTCCCACCAACCCCTCCATGCTCTCTCTTGAGTGCTCTCTCTCACAAATAAAATCTTAAAAAAAAAAGTCGATATTGTTAAGATTGTATGCATTGCCTTACAGAATACTGTGTTCAAATTGTGCACGTGTAGGAACATTCTAAGGATCACTTCTACACAGTAAACAAATAATTTAGGGGGGCAGTTTGAGAGTTTGTAAAACTGGAGGGTTTGCTCTGTGCTTATTAGCATGGTGCTGGGTACTTGCATCCACGTCTAAAATCTGTTTAACAATCTGAGAGATGTGGATATTATTGCCTCAGAGAGGTGGAATCTGAGGTTCTGAGACCTACAGGAACTCATCTCTCACTCTTTTTCCCCCACATGATGCTTTTGGGTTGTTAGGGTCCCATGCTGGGTGGCCTCCTCTGCAGTGGCTGCTTGCCTCCTGAGTCTGATTAGATGCCTGGTCCTACTTATTTCTGATCATTGAGGTCTTAGAGATCCAGAATTACCAGCAGAATACTGCATTATGAGTAAAAATGCTGCAAAACAACTGTCCTGGGAAAACTGATTTTGAAATGTTAGGGTGTCTCTCCCAGCATGATTCACCTGGCTGCGCCTTGGGGAAGGAGAGAAGAGTCGTCACCCCTCCCCCACCATCCCCAAGTCTCCCTAGAGGGCTGTGCTGTGACTTTCTTCAAGCTAGAAACTGGGTGAGGGACATGCAAGCCAGCTTTTGAGTGGTTTATAAATGAGGCTTCCTGATTCCTGAATTGTTGTTTGTGGGTCATCTTACACGAAATCGCATTTGGTGTGTATTGGTCAGTAATGGAAAGGATGCGGTGAGGTTCATTTGGAGCCATTTGGAGAGCCCACGGAGTGTGGTCCTTATCCCGGGAACACCTCAGGAGAGTGCTTCCGAAGGTTTTCTGTTGATTTGTTAGTCCTCAAGGTTAGCATCTGGAGTTGTAACTTGGGAGTTCAGGCCCTTTGGTGCCTATATGGATCACAGAACTATACCTTCAGAGCTTTAGCAGATCCTCAGCATCATTTGGGCCAAATCCTTTGTTGTTCACTCGTTATTGTTTATTGTTTATTCTGTGAATATTTACTTAGTACTCAGCAGGTGCCAGGACCAGCTCGTGCTGTCAAATGCTCACAATATGTGGGAGACATGTGTCTGGGACAAGTGATGACAAAGGCATGGAGGTTGTGTCAGATACAGGGAGGCTTTTCCCAAAGTGCACTCTATTCGGTAAATGGCATGCAAGTAGGTATCATGAGGAGAAAGGTTTCACGGTGAAATAGGATTGGAAATGCTGGCATGTGAGTGTTACAGTAGAATCTGATTATTTTTGAGAATGTTAGATGTACCTGACACGGAGGCGTGTGTCTTATACAGATTATCTCATCTTACAGCATTCAGTAGTTTGGGTTGGCTGTAATTATAACTGTTTCTGTACTGATAGAAGTTCTAGATTGTTTTTTATTTGATTTTATTGATTAATTTAAAGATTTTATTGAGAGAAGAGAGCAGAGCTAGAGAGCATGTGTCTATGTGTGGGGGAAGGGCAGAGGGAGAGGGGAAGCAGATGTGCACCTGAGCAGGGGGCCTGACACAGGGCTCCATCAGGGGACCCTGGGATCATCACCTGAGCCAAAGGTAGATGCTTAGCTGACTGAGCCACCCAGGTGCCCAGTTCATGGGCTGGAGATTGGTCTCTTCATTTCAAGGAGGGCTTCTGAATACAGTGGAATATTATTCAGCCTTTAAAAAGAATGGAATTCTGACATATGCTACAACATGGATAAACCTTGAGGATATTCTGCTAAGTGACAGAAGCCAGTTTCAAAAAGACAAAGTATGGTTCCACTCACAGGAGGCACTTCGAGTAGTGCATTCATAGGATAATAGAAGGTAGATGGCTGTTGCCAGGTTTTGGCAGGAGGGAGAGAATGGGGGGTCGTTTAATGGATGCAGAGTTTCAGTTCTGCAAGAGGAAAAGTATTCTGGAGATTGGTTGCACAACAACACAAATGTACTTGGCACTACTGAACTTTACACTTAAAAAAAGATTAAGAGGGTACATTTTATGTTTTGTGGGTTTTTTGTTTTTGTTTTTGTTTTACCATGACAAAACAAAAATATGCCCAAAGGAAGTCATACAGTGAGAATTAAAAATCACAGATTACGGGATATGATGTACCTCAAGTGCAGTGTGCATAGGAATGCACCTGCTTGTATCTTTAATTATTTTCATTGGGGTTTGAGATGAGAAAATAAATTGGAGTAGTTCTGTTTTACCTAAGAAGAGAGGTCTCTCAAGCTTCGGAAGGCTTTGCCAGTTGCAGCAAATAATAAATGTACTTTGTACTTCAAAATAGTTGCTTGTGTTCCTTTTTTTTTTTTTTTACAAGGAGAACACCAAACATACTTTATTAGCACAAAAAAAGCAGCCATAACAAGGCACAGCAAGCAGAAACGTACATTAGCAGTCAAAGGGTTAGTGTTGCATACAAATATAGCTTTTCTTTTTTGTAGCCTTGGCAATAGCCATCAGGATGTAAAAGAACTTTTCTGTAGCAGCAGGTAAGGAAACCAAGGAGCACTCACCAGTGGTACAGAGCACATTAACAAAAAGACACAAGAATGAATTCGACTAGTGCAAAATGTCTAGCACAGAACCGTAAATTCAGTTCAATACTAAGAAGCAAACACTAGAACTTGGTATTACTTCCAAAATAGCTCACTCAAGTAGTACTGCATACTATTCTAAGTGACAAAAAGGTGCTAAGTAAAGTTATTTACAGATAGAATGGTTGTACAGTACCTTTTAAATCTGCAATTAGGGTTTCAGATTTTCCATTAGAAATTAACTGCTTTGAAATTCTATAAATTGTACTTAAGCTATTCAGCTGTAAGAGTTTACAACAAAGAGCTAAATACTGCCATCCAAATTGTTCACTACAGTTTAACAATAATCTCAACATCAGCAACCACTGCTGTTATCATCTGACTTGTGTGGGCATCTTCTAGTCTCACTTTCTTCATGGTTCACAAACACATCATGGGCGCGGGAAAAGATCCAACTTTAATCAGCGCGTAGACTGCATGTACTAATGTAAAAAAAAAAATCACACACAGGACTACATTGCAGCTCTTCCCAATGTGTTTTAAGTTAAAGCATTCATTCAAAAAAAAAAAAAAAACACCTAAGGCCTTGAAATAAAATTCTATCAGCTTTATAAGCCTGAACTTTTAAGAGCAACTATTTAGAAAACCTGGTTTACTTAACAGTACCTTTTGCAGAAGAGACAGGAGACTGACTATAAACTATATCAACACTTAATTGAACTGCACTATGCCCTTGTGGCCAGAAAATTGCATTTTTCTTTTTTTTTCTCAAAGGAAGGCAGTCTTTATTTTTGGACTTCCAAAGCTTGATTTATAGTAACTACAAACAGCGCTACTTTTGGAAGGTTATAGAAAAATTCTTAGAAAAAAATAACAATTTCAAACATTAGTCACACTGTTGAAATACTCATCCAATATTAATAATTTGTTCTTCAGTAAGAAATAGAATTCTTCATAGCAAATGCCCCAGAGTTGCTTTACTCAATTACAACAGTCATTAAAAACCAAACTGTTCACTCAATCAACAAAACGCTTTTGTAGCCTTACTGAACACCTATAGCTCTGTCCTCTGTTGTCTCAATAGGCATCAAGTTTATCTGAGTAACAGCAGATTGCATCTGACAGATACTAACACTAAGCCTACATACTGTACTGAAAAAAACCTAACACTGATATGTGTGCTTGCTATAGGTGTACTGTCTGATGCACATAAAAGCAGATCTAGTTAATGCCCTTTGGGGGCAGGAGAGTTTACTTTGCCTTGACTGGTTCTCGTTCTAACCAGCGAACTCTAACTTTTTGCTTATAATGATACTCTTTCAGAAAATCCTGCAACATGGATGATAAAGGGAGCCCATCGATTCCATCATATGTAGTGCATCTACAGATTACTGCACGGCAGATATATTGCAGGCTAAAAGGGAAAGTCCGGTTTAGTGATATAGTAAGCAATGGTTCAAAAAACATGCAAGAACTGGGATCTTTATAATGTTCCAAAAGTCCTGTTACAGTGGAGGAGTGAAATTCACATGGGTCGTGGGCGTCAAAACTAAAGTTGTGGTTCCATTGTTCGATTGGGGCATGCAGGGATCTGTTGTAGCGACGGAAGCTCACAGAGAAGAGGTAGTCCTCCTGCGCGGAGTCCCTGAGCAAGAATGTGCCTTCAGGTTTCCCTTCAAGGAGGGCTTCTGCTTCGTAACGGTCCATCACTCCCCAGTAACAGGGATTTCCTGTGATCTGAAGCAAGTCAGGCACGAGGCAGTGTATGTAATCAATCTGCGTATGGACTTTCCAAGCTCCCTGTCTGCTAATGTGGGCATGGCTGTCTCCAGACACCTGACGTTGCTTCTGCCTACGTGACTGCAGACACAGTGTGGTAGTGTCCTCTTCTGAGTCACAATTAGCTTGAGGAATTGCAGTACTGTCCCCACGTACTTCAGTCATTCCGGGAGCTAACTTTGGTCCCAGTTTATATAACGGATTAACCCGTGCGGTGGCTTCAAATGTATGTATTTGTGCATTGGGAGGAGGGTCAACCCCCTCTTCAATACTAAGCCGCCTTCTTTCTCGAAGCCTATCTTCTTCATCTTCTGTAGAAACCAAGGATGGATCAAATGTATCAAAAAATGTTGAGTGTGGGCTCACAGGGGCTGTATGCTGTTTAATCAAATGCCATTTCTGGGCTAAATCTGAGCCAGCAGGAAAAGGGCATTTCTCAAGCATTAATTCAGAAAGGTGTATTTTTCTTTTATTAGAAAAGAGGGGTTTTGACTGCTTGCTGTAAGTTCTCATGGGAAAACACAAGCCCACAGTATCCTGCAACCTCTGTCTCAGAGAGCGGCTTCCTACAGTTCTGCTGGACATGCTGTCCGTATCGTGCATGGAGCTTACGCCATACCGCCTCTCCCTCCTTTGAAGTCCGCTTCGAGTTCTACCAAACTTTTCATCAGTATCCAATGAACTCTGCGTCTTTGTAGAACAGGAATGTTTTTTCTTCCCACCCCACGGAGCATGCCGAGAATGGGAATCTCTTCTTGCTAGCCTTGCTCCTGGGGTGACACACGAATCATTATCCTTTTCAATGCTTATTTCGACAATCTGAGGAATTTCAGTAGCACAGTTTTGGTTTCTCCTTGAAGAATTCTTGGAAGGGCTTGATCCCAGTTGTAAGACAACGTTTTCTCTTAAGGGACTGCTTTGTTGTTGAGGAGTGGAGTCTCCTATACTGAGGTTTCTCTCTTTCACAGACAAACATCTGTTGGAGTTCATGTCCACGTTTTCACTACGGCTCCCTCCCTCGTGACCGAAGAGATTCTGACCCCTGTATTTGAAGTGATTCCACATCTTCCCCACTTTATCCATTGAGTATAAGATCGGCTGCGGCGCGCGGGGCGGCCTCATCCAGGGCACCTGCGGCCGGGCGGAGGGGCCCGGACGGCGCAGCCACCGACAGGGCGAGTCCGCCCGCTCGCGCGCCGCTCCCGTCCCGTCCCGTCCCGTCCCGTCCCGTCCCGTCCCCTCCGACTGCCCGGCCGCGCGCCGTCTCGCTGCCTCCTGCCTCCGCACGGAGCGCGGGGACCCCAGCTCTGCCGATGCCCCCGCCAGACCCCCACCCCCTTCCCCCGCACCCCTCCCCCAACCCCCACCGGAATGGAAAATCGCTTGTGTTCCCTTTTGAGGCTTGAGTAAGCATTTGCTGATGTGTCCAGAATACATTTTTTTTAGAAAGTGCTTATACTTGAGCTATTAGTTTGTGTGTTTTTTTTTAAAAAAAGATTTTATTTATTTGAGAGAGAGAAACAGAGAGCACGAGCAGGGGGAGGAGGGGCAGAAGGAGACAGAGAAGCAGACTCCCCGTTGAGCAAGGAATCCGATGTGGGGCTCAATTCAGGACCCTGAGATCATGACCTGAGTCAAAGGCAGAGACTTAACTGACTGAGCCACCCAGGCACCATTGAGCTATTCGTTTTATAACAGTATACTCCTGGGTTGAGTGTAGGACTACTGTAAATTGAAGCAAAGGCGCCAGGAGGCAGGACAGTAGCAATTTAGGGCTTGCCATCAGGATTTAGGCCAATTCCCTCACCTTATGGACTGTGAAAGCAAAAGTTGTAGAATCCATGGTTGCAGTCCTCTTTAAGAACTCTGTATATTAAAAAAAAAGAAAGAAATCTGTATATTTAAGACTGCTTATTTAAAAAAATATATCGATTTGAACAAAATTTTTCTAGCTTTCAGTAGAATGGTGGCATTTTGCAAAGGGACAAAGTATTTCAAACTTCTCCGTTAGGGTCATAAAGAATGCATCTGAGTATAGATTACGGAAGATTTGAGTGAGTTCAGTCTGTTAACATGTTTAAAACTTTTCGAAGGCCATGTTCATTATTTCTCTGGGTAGAGCAGTTTCCAGTGATGATAAATTCATAGCAGCTCGGAAACTTCTCATGGCTGCATGGTTGCCTTCTCTGTGGTACAGCTCTAATTGACTCTCTGCTCTCTCTAGCACATTGGGTTGTTCGTGCATTTCATGATGATAAACATCCTTGGCCCACGTCCACCCAAGCCAGAGGGCCACATATGTTTAGCCAGGCTGCCCTTCTGAATTTATTACCAGCCCTCCCACCCCAAGTAATGCATACAACCACGAGTTTCTTAAAACTTTGCCAAGTTGAACCTTGTTATAATTTTTAAATCTTTGTCAGTCTGATTTTTTTTTTTTTCGGATCACTGTTAAGTTTCCTTAACATGTTTGGTGTGTGTGTGTGTGTTTGTGTATTTCTTTTTTGGGGACTGGAGAATCTTTAAAAAAATTGAGAGAGGCAATGAGCAGGGGGAGGGACAGAAGGGAAGAGAGAAGCAGACTCCCCATGAAGTGCGGAGCCCAACTGTGGGGCTCAATCCCAGTCCCTGGGATCATGACCTGAGATGAAGGCAGACGCTTAACCGACTGAGCCTTCCAGGTGCCCCTTGCCTCAGGTTTGTGAATCATGTGCATTATTTAGACATTAATTCTACGTGTCCCTGGTTTAATTTCACTGCCATTCTTGCTATAGCACTCCTTCCTCACCTTCAAGTTTTTTTCCATTGATCTGTTCATTAGTGAGAGCTATAAGGTTGTGGTCAGCATACTTGGCTGGAGCTTCCCCAGGATTATCCAGGGTCCAATCTTTAAGTTCTTAAATATCGGACAGTGTCTCTCTGTTGTCTTTGTATAGAACAGTAGCTTAATTGACTCACTGGTCATTTCTGGAGGTCTCTGGTCTGTCTCCTCAGGCCTCTGCTGCCCACAATGTTTTTGGGGTTCTGCTTGGGAATTCCAGGCTTTTTCTTACCAGGTTGCTTATCCGTTTGTATTTGAGTTTTGTTTTGTTTTTTTAAGGAGATCTTATTTATTTATTTATTCATGATAGAGAGAGAGAGAGAGAGAGGAGGCAGAGACACAGGCAGTGGGAGAAGCAGGCTCCATGCAGGGAGCCCGACGTGGGACTCGATCCCGGGACTCCAGGATCACGCCCTGGGCCGAAGGCAGGCACTAAACCGCTGAGCCACCCAGGGATCCTCATTCGTTTGTATTTGAATCACTGACTAGATGTTACAGTCTTAACCTCTGGTTGCCTTTCACTTTTCACCAGGGATATATACAGGTTCTCCCCTCCTTCCCACTTTATATTTGCGTGTTCGTTTTAATGAGAGCTGAATTCATTTGTATCTAATAGGAACTCTTGGTGTATTGTGGTACATACCCTCTTGTGGAGGGAAAAGGTCACAGGCCTAGGATTGTAGTTATATGTCAGAACTGACTGTACTTTGTTGGGTAAAGTGTTAACTTGCCCATATTTTTGTTTTCTTTCTTAAAACTCTAGATGTTTAATACTGGAGCAGTAATTCTCAAACTTTCTTGGTCTCAGGACCCATTAAAAATTATTGAGGTTCCCAAAGAGGCTATGTTCATAGGTGTCACACTGATTCTCACATATATTGTGCTAGAAATCAAAACAAAAATTTAAGCCACAAGGATACAGAAATACAGATCCCACTATTAAGCCTTCAGGGCAAGGTGTCACCACACATTGTGTGGTCTCTAGAAAACTCCACTATGCTTAGAAAATCGTTCTGACACTTCATACTGGTCTCAGGGAACCCCATGGTTCTCAGATCACACTTTGAGAACTGTTGTGCTAAAGTATGTCCGCAAATTATTGCGGTTTCCTTTATCAAAACTGAAGAATTTGATTGGAAATACCTTGACTTGAAGGAAACGCTTTTCAGAATTTGTGGTCTGAACCCTCATCATCTCAGGGCCCTTTTTTATTGTCCTTTTTTGAGAGGTGCTACTAACTTACTCTTCTCTCTGGATTGTCCCATAGATTCCCTGTAAGAAGCCCCTGCTGGTGTGCCAGACCGACCCGGGGCTGTCCACCCGACGACTGCCCCAGACTCCGGCAACGGGGCCCCCGATGGCAGTGGGCACCTCCCCGTGAAACCTGCCAAGCTGGACGCCACAGCTCCGAACGACGACACTTTGGCCAACTCTGTGCCCCCTTTGGAGGCGTGCAACCATGCAGTCCTAGCCTGCAGCCCGGGCATCCCTGAGGAGCACTATGTAAGCGAGGCTGTGGAAGATGCTCCCAGCTGCAAAGGGTACCGGGATGCCTGCACCATCACCGGTAAGGGGAGCCCTTTCCTGTGGGGCGGGGGGGGGGGGGGCTCAGTGAATGAGGACTGGGGGAGGCCGTGGCCACAGCAGTGTGTCTGGGTGAGGTGTGAATGGCCAGGGGGGAAATGTCTGAGCACAGAGTCTGAGCTTTGGGATTTTGAGACCTGCCATCCAGAACCAACATAAGGTGAAGACAAGCCTTTAGTCATGCTCAATGTAGTTTGGTGCCTCCTCCTCTCGCTGAAGCTCAGTTTCTGATTCATGCATACAGACAGGTGTGGTGGAAATCACACATGGCTGCGTTGTGGGTTGCAATCTTGGGGAACTGTTTTCAGGGCCCTTCGTGTACTGCCAAGACTTGCACAGACATGGCTTCTTAGAGATGCCTGCACCAGTCACACCTTCCTCATGTCCCAGGAGCAGAGTTAATCATACTAGAGCTCTTGCTTGTTCTTTTCCCCCCAGCCCTGAGGGATCATCATTGAGACAAGTGCTTGGAGCCAGTGCACTCAAGGGCTCTGAGCAGACATGATGTGGGCTGGTGTGAGCAGAAGCAGCAAGGAGCGCTGTTAGAGTTACATCCAGATGCATTCCTCTCAAAGTTTGCCCCAGTTGTTGTCTTGTCTGCAGCATTTACTTTCTCCTCCTGTTTGAAATAATGCCCAGTGACAGCTTAAAATGTGCAGATTCCAGCAGCTTTGTATTGTTCTGTTTCACAGATAAGCATTGAGGACCTCCTGTGTGTCAAGAGTGTCCTAAGTACAGAGGAGCACCCAGGTGGCCCAGGATCCCAGTCTGGGTGCCCAGCCCTTGTGCTGAGCTCCGGCCCCATGAGTGGCCCTCTATCTGCTTGTGCACGGAATCCCACACCTGCTTGCCTGCCCACTTCCAGAAGGAGACATTTCCTACGTCTCCTCTCCCTCTACATTATCTGTTTCCTTTTGCTCGTGGATCTCTCGTGTTAGCACAGAAACACACTGTGACCTCTCCCTTTGTTAAAAGACTCATTGGTGGCCCCCACAGCCAGTCTCTGCTCCTCTGTGTACACACTGCATTTTCTTTTCTGTTCTCACCTGCATCCAGTGTGAGCAGGCTGCGACCCCATCGCGCCCCCAGCCCTGAGGGCCTTGTCCGGTGTAGGGGTCAGTCCTTAGCCTTCATCTTCTTGCCTTTTCAGCAGGAGTTGACACTGCTGACCACTCTCTTCTCCTGGAAGATCTCTCTTGGCTTCGAGTCCCCATTCTCCCATTCTCTGACTTTTCTGGCTGCTGCTCTCCCCAAGCCTGGGAATGTTGCAGGGTCTCGGGCTCAGTCCTTCCAGCCCCTCACTCTCATAAACACCCAGGCCTCGGGTGATCTTCCCCAGTCTCTAGGATTTAAAATCTGCCGTATGCTGACCACTGTCTAGCTTCTGTCCTTAGACTAAACCTCTCCCCTGGAGGCCAGACATGTTGGTCTGACTCCACATACATCTTCCCTGGGATGCCTCTGGGCATCTCAGACTGAAACAGCCAACAAGGAACTGATGTGCACCTCTTCCTGCTTTTCCTGTGGTCTGTCCTGTCTTTAGAGACAGTACTTCTGTCCTTCAGTGGCCCAGGCCAAACCCCTTGGAGGCATTCATGACCCCTGTGTTTCTTTCACACCTTGGTTTACTGGAAAGTCTGTTGGCTCTGTTTTCAGTGTGTCCAGAGTTTTATGGTTTCTTACCAGCCCCATGGCATCTACCCTGTTCCATGCCACCAAAGAGGCTTTTTAAACAGTCAGGTGATTTAACTCTTCTCCAAAACTCCAGTGGACTCTTACCTGACCATGGCCTGTGGCGGTTTAAGTGACAGGGCTTTCCCACCCCTCTGACTATCTCATCTGTGCCCACTCCACCCCGGACACTTTGGCCTCCTTGCTAATCCTTGGACTCATCAGGAATGTGCTGCCTCAGGGCCTTTGTTCTTGCTGCTGCCCAGCACCTGGATCGCCTACCACCTAACCCCTACTCCGCCTCATGTCCTCGTGATTCCCTCTTCACTTTCTCCAGATGGCATTACATTAGAGGCCTTTTTGTGAACTCCCTGAATAGAGAGTGGCCCACCATTTCCTTTCTCTTTCTCCCTTTCCTGCCATATTTTCCTCCCCAGACTTAGTCATGAGCTACTATGTGTTTTGAGGACAAGGACTTTGTGCAGCCCTGTATCCCAATGACTGAAATAGCACCTCATGTGGCCAGTGCTTGGCAAGTGGGGTCTATTACTCCCTTTTTTACTGGTAAAGAGAGTAAATCATGAGAGGTTCGGCATCCTGCCTGAGCTCCTGAGCTCTGAGGGGTGATATTTGTATGTAGGTCATGATCCCAGGATGGGAGTTCTTAGCACCCCTAGAATACAGTCCAGTGGGATGGACAGATGAGCGAAGGAAAATTGACAATGTGCCATGGTTGGCACAGTGTTAAGCATGGTCACATGAGAGCACACTAAGGGTGAGCGTCTTGGAGGGAAAAGTTTGGGGGAGGACCGAGAGGGCTTCCTGGAGGAGGCAGAGTCCCAGCTGTGTTCTCATTTGCCCAAGCATGGGAACTAACCCTGGGGCTTCCAGTGGCATCTGTGCCAGCGAAATCCAGGAAACATGCAGCCTGTTGAAGTAGTTTCACTTTCTCCAAACGTGACAAACAAGGACAAAGAAATGGTAGAATGTGGTGCTGAAACTTCAAACCCCACAGGGCGTGGTGCCTGGATGCTGTTTGCTGGACATCAGTGGGAGGACAGCTGAGAAGCAGAGCTCAGCGCCATCACGTTTGGCAGTGGCTTAGTAAACAGGAGTGTAAGCACAGGCCCCGTTACACATTGAGGGTGCTGGGTGGCCAGATGATGCAGGACAGTCTCAGGTTAAAGGTTTTCTAGATGGTCACTGAGAGGACGACACAGAGTGAAAAATATTCTCAGAGAGCCCTGGAGTGTCCCCAAGAATGCACATTTGGCTCCAGGGGCCCTGCCAAGTGTAGTCCTGGGAGCCCACTTGGCCTCAGGCCTCTGATAAATATCCCCCGCCCCCGGTTCCCAGTGAGCAGCGAGATGAACAGCAGACTTTTTGTTCCTCTTTAATTTTTAGGCAAAGCCAAATACCCAGCACAAAGCCCGGCTCCCCTGCTCCTCCCCCACCCCTTCGCTTAGGGATATCACATTTTGGGGTGCGTCATTTTCTCTTTGGGGTGGCTTAACAAGATGAGCCGATAGGGTGCCCAGGCTGCCCGGAGTTACGTAACCCATTGTGCTTCCAGGGCAGCTCGCAATCTTAGGATTTGCCCCAACAGGCAAACCGACAAAGCTGCTGAGGAAGGCGCAGGCGGGTGGCTGTGCCGAGGTCCTGCCCCATCTGGGTTCTCATGGAGAATCCCTTTTCTCTCTGACTTGCCTTTGGAGTCGATTTGTGTACATGGCCTTGGTACTTCAGTTCGGGCAGCCTGTCAGGGCCCAGCCTCTGCCAGGACTCTGCCAAGGCAGGCTCGTTCAGACAAACTCATGTGGTAAGTTTTCTGCTGTTTGTTTTGTTTGTGGTGTGGCCGGAAAGCAGAAGAGACCACAGGAGAAGTGGTGTCTCTCCTGCTCTGTTCTGCTTGGCAGGTCGCCCTTGGCCATGTGATGGGGAAATTGCAATATTGAATCATTGAAGGGCAGAGCCAAGGGTCCTTAGGGCCTGCTCCCGCCTCGTCCCCTCATCCCAGCTCAGTGGGGGCAGCACCGGGGGGCCGTGAGGAGCAGCTGGGACTGGGCCTCTCAGACTTCCACCACCTTCCCTTTTGGTGTGCTTTGCAGCAGCTAAATGGGGAGGGTCTCCAAGCCCCCCTCTGGCCTCTCCAGCTCTTTAGTTTGTCCTAATCCCGTGTCTTCATCCTGGTTCTCAGCACCTCATCTGGCATTTGGGTCAGCGAGGACTTTTTTGAAAGGTGAAGAACAGAGTTAATGTCTCCCTTCTTCTTCCTCTCTTTCCTGCCTTTACTTTTTTTTTTTTTTTTCATTCCTTTTACTAAATGTACTTGGCCCCGTACCTCTGATCCACACCTCAGTGCTGGAGAGCTTGCAAATCAGTTCTGCTCTGGCTTGTCTCCCCTGCTGCAAGGGCTGATCAGAGTCCGAGGGTGGATGAGCGTCTGGTGTCTGTCCTGTGTTGTATGTGCTGTTACCAAGAGCTGTCTGGGCCCAAACCCAGTAAACTCCTGAGAGGGAAGCCCCTCTTGGCCTGTTGAAGTGGTTCAGTGTTCGGGACATATGAGTTTGGACAAGAGTTTGGGCTGTGACTGTATGTTGGGGGGCTATGTAAAGCTTCTTCAGGAGTGTTCCATGATTCTGCTCAACCAGTAGCTACTGGAGGCTAGCCTTTTGCGGGGATCCAGCATGAGAACTGGCTCTGGCCCAGGGCACTGGAGGTGGGCAAAGGTGTAGATGGCCAGCGGTGGCCCTACAAGAATTGCTCCCACTCTGCTTCGGGAGCAGCCCTGCAGGGGCATCCTCCCCATCACAGGGCCTCCGTTTAGGATTTGTTCCTTTTCTATCACTAGCCTAAGCTATCGGACTTGATGGCTTATCCTCTGAAAACATGCTCAAAGAAAATATTATGGATGTCTTTTATGAATTAGGTTTGATGTCTTGCTTATCAGTTCTTGTCTAGCATAAAATTCCTCATATGTTTTCTATTGAAAAGTTATAACTTCAATGGTGCTTGGCTGAATGAAACAGAAAAGAATAGAGTGAAATATCCCTTCTTTCATGGGGTGAGAAAATGTGAACTAGAATCTAGGGAATCACACATGTTTTCTAAACTCATAACTTGGAAAGATTCTTTGCTGCTTTGTAAAATCTGCTCGGTTTAACAGTTGGTTTTCACACATGGAATGCAGGAGGAGGGCCTCATATGCTGATTTCTAGAGCTAACATTTAATCTTCAGCAAAACACGCAAACATTCACATCTGTCTTTTAAATGTGCCATGTGAATGATTGTGGAGGCCCCCAACTGATCCT